CCCCCCCCCCCCCCCCCCCCCCCGTTCTCCCCCCCTTTTGTGTCTTTTGACGCAGGAGACAAAAATCGATTGCGTGCGAGTCGCCACCAAAGGTAGGATTTGACGCCGCCGTGAATCGAGAGTCGAGTGTCCCCGTCGGAGTGGTGTCTGAAATGCAGTGTGTTGCTGAGTGTTTATTTGGCATCTGTCCAGCACACGCTTCACAACACTACTAATGTTCCGGCATGTCTGTTTATCTTTCTTCCTGATGCTCTGCGTGCATTTTTCCCTCCAAGTTCTTCTGCCCAAATCCACTTGGTTATTTCTCGAATGTCAGCTCCATGTTTCCTCCAGCTCAACCGAGCTCAGAAATTAAAGTGGACCTTCTTTGAATGGGATATCTGTTACGGCCACGTCATATTTAGTCAGAAAGTACAAACCAGAGTCCTCGCATTCCAATGTGTGTCCGTCCCCCACGTTTCTCTGTAGCCTAGCCTGCATCTGCATGTCAAACCAGCACCATCAAGTATCACTGCCAATACAATTGTTCCATAGGAATTGATCTTCAAGTCTCCCATCTGAATTATGGAGGATGTCAAGTGTGTCGTCAAACAGGCTGACAGACAGAAGTTGTGGGAGGTGTTCAGTTAGTTGGTCCAGGTTACACATCTGGGCAGATGCCAATTGCAGCGGACTTGCTTCAGGGTGACAGGGGGGCATCACGTTTCCATGGGTGACCCTCAACTCCACGTGGTCCATCTCCCAGATAGCACGCAGCGCTGGTTTTGAATTTAATTGTGTGCAGATGGTACGTAATCTATTTTCCTTACTGCGTGCCATCTTTCTAATGGGACCCAGGCTGTTCTATGCAAATTAGATATTTTTTATTCCAACCATTTCATTTTTTTCCCTCCTTTTTCGTGGTATTTGCTGCTAATCTCCGCAAGCTAACAGCTGAGTCACTAAAATAATCTGTTTATTTTAACCTGGACTTTAACCTGTGATACCCATTTTAGAATTATGGCAGACTTTTGTCGGAGCGTCTATTAAACTCAACGCCGAGTGTCGAAACGTCCGCCAATCATAAAATGACTGTCCCCGACAAATACGGCCAAAGTGACAATGATAATTTGCGATTCTGCTCCAGTACCCAAAGAGAGCTAAAGAATAATGTTCCCACACTGCGCTACACAAGACCTTCCCCGCACTGTCAGTGCCCTGCTGCTTGACGGGTAACGGTACACCCGATATGAACTGCTAACACTATCACCCACACACAGAGGTCTTCCGGCACCTGCCCTAATGTTGGTTTGCGCTGTGACTAATGATCCTGTGTTTCTACGCCCAAACTTCTGGCTTCAGTCTGTCCTTTTTCTTCTCTTCTCCTTCTGCATGCCGGACCGGGAACTCTCCCTTTGCCATTAGCTGCCATAATCGCGACTCAGCTCACCACACCCTATATACGCATCGCCCCGGCGGCCGGCGACAACCAGCTCACAGGTCAGACCCTCCGCCCTTCCCCCACGCCCCCGCCTTATGCCGCATTCCCCCTCGGCCACGAGTCTCTGTGTTGGGGAGGCTGCTTCCTTTGGATGGCGCTGCAGAGCGTGTGTGTGACCTGTTGTGAGTCTGCGGCTGCCTGATTTGTTTGCGGCTCTATGCTACATATATCTGTGAGTGAATCTCTGTGCTCTTTTGTGTATTTATGTGTAACTGTTTTTATCTTTGTCTGTGTATAGGTATGTCAACTGTGTGCCTGGCTCACGTTTCCTCACTGTATTTCTGTTACAGTTAATTATAATTGTATGCTCTGTGAGTTCATTGCCGTGTTTAAATGTGCATATCTGCTTTTGTGTCCCTGTGAGTGTGTTTATAGTGTCTTTCTGACTATGCTTGCATGTATGGGTACTGACTTACTGTGCCATGAAAATACATGTAGCCAACTGAAGGCTAAGCGTTCATTGACGTTTGCTGTTAGTGAAATTTTTGCGTTCACTTACTAAACCAGTGGTTCCTAAACTTTCTCTGCAGGGTCCCCCTTTTCTAGATAGGAACATTCTAGATAGGAATTCATTCTTCTAATGCAGATTTAACATTCCTGTTAATATTCATTGGCGTACCCAAATTAAAGTTCTACGATTTGTTTTTAATGATAACCACAGGTTTCAGCCTATACTATAGCACAAAACAACACTAAGGCTATGTTCACTTCCATGCTGAAGTGACTCAAATCGGATTTTTTGCCTTAATGTGACACAGATCTGATCTTTTCAGGGCTGTGTGGACACGCAAATCTGATCTTTTCAAATCAGATTTGTGTCACTTTCATATGTGGTACTAATTAAGTCTGATACGTATCCGATTCGCGGCCATGCGACCTGAATGTGACGCTCAGATCAGAATTCATGTGGCTTTTTGCTTATACGCATGCGCTGACATCATCAGCCTGCACCGGCAGCGCGGGAAGGTAAAAATGGAGGAGAGCTGCGATAACAGTCAGTGGAAGGATGCAGAAGGTGGGGATTTAATTGATATTTGGGGAAATTAATCTGTTCAAGCTAAACTGGAAGGTACCTATCGTAATAGAGTAGTATTTGAAATAATTGCACTGTAACGTAATGGTTGTCTAAGATGGCCCTTCTTGATAGCTATCAACAGCTAATGCTGACCATCTGAGGTGTCCCTACCTCCCTGTGATTTCGTCCAGGCTTAGCATGACCCTGTAATGGAGGAGCATTTAGAAGATCGGTGAATGTGCTGATGGATAAATGAATAAGACACTGAAGATCACAGGATGACGATAATGAGTTAAACCTACTGCAAGTCGCTGCGCTCCTTTTAAACGAGCTGTCGCCGCTCCTTCTGCCCATCAACCAGTTACCACCTTTGGACAACTATGAAAGTCAGCCGGCTATCAGTGCACGTTCTCCTGACACGCACCGAATGAATACAAATGAAAGCCCACACACTTGTAATGAATGCTTTCATCAGTACACAAGCTTGCCAGACTCTGACAGTCTCTCCATTCATTTTGAATTGAAAGGTTGCCCGAGGCTGAATTTTACTGGCTGGGGCAGCTGGGCACCCGTTAACGTAAAGCTCTGATAGATACCTAAAGCCACGTGAGAGTCCCACCTTCACTTTGACACGATCGTAATCCCACCTTGCAAACGTTTATGATTAAACATTATGTCTCATCTGTGATCTGTACATACATTATATCCCAGGCTAAATTCCTGCGTTGTTCAGGTTTGTTTGGGCATTTCGGTGTATCTCAGTCCTACAATAGTAGCCAAAATCTCGTAGTAGCCAAATTTTCGGCATTACGCTTTAAAAATACATAACAGTAATGCTTATAAACAATCAAAGAATGTTACAAATATCATACATTGGACGATTAAATAACTATCAGTTGAATAAAGTTGCAGCATCTCTAAAAATTGAAAGTGTTTCCACAATTTTGGCCACTAGTATACCTGGAGTTCCGCACAAACTTTCAAGCTCCCACCTCTCAAGCTAAATAAGGCTACTAACCTTTATTTGTCATGTGATTTGTCATGTGATTTTTGTCATGTGATTTGTCACCTGTTCTTCTTTGCTGAATGTGAGACATTTGTCATTTGGCTATTGGCAGTCCCATCCATAATGCCGTACAGAGTGGAAATATTAGGTGCATCATATGTTCAGGGTGGTGGGTTGTGGCAGGGGGGTGGGGGGATTCTTTATATTTCAGTGTGACAGGAATTCTGAATGAAACCTCAGATTTATTTCCTAATTCCTCGCCTCTCCTTGAATGACCTGTACAAACCATAAGGAAATGAGCAGACGACTGCAGCCTCTGAAGCCAGTTCCGTCTGCCTTTCCTTATACCTCCAGGCACGTTTGGGGGTTGTTATTTAAATAATGAGCTGAATGCCGTCTCAGGGACCCCGTGGCTGGCTCTTAGTGACCTTTCAGAGCTTGGCCAGCGCAGGGTAGTCAACATCTCTTGGCATGGCATCTGCTGCTGAGCCGAGGAACCCCTC